TTTAGTCATTTGATACCAATATTGTCCATTCTTCTTGACCTGAGGTTTGTTGTCTTCATTTGCATTGTTTTATTCATTCTGCATATACGAGTATGTATATATATAATTTGTTAGCTCTTTCCTCATTTAGACAAGTTAAAAGTTGAAACTTTAAACAGATTTTCCCATGTTTTCTCTAAAACCTTATTTTATCTCGTGATGTAATTACATTCCATTTCATTCTTATACCTGCCTCCTATGCTTACTATCTATGTTACCCTGGGCAGGACATTTAACCTCCATTGGTCTTATTTCCACATCTGTAAAATGGGTATAATAATAACACCTACTTCCCAGGGCTCATATGAGGATAAAATGAGATGTGATATTTGCAGAGTGCTCTGCAAATCTTATGGCTCTATCAGTGCTAAGGTGCAAGGAAAATCAAGGTAAAATATGCTTGAAAATTTGAGGAAAGAGAGATCACTTTTATATTAGGGGATGATGAGCTCAAGAAAAGCTTCTTAGAGGAGATGATAACCATCTGTGTTGGGACTTAAAGGGATGAAGGGACATCAATAGAGAGATGAGAGGAGGGAGTCTGCTTTAAGCATGAACCTAGGATGATCCCATGCCTCTCAATGACTAGAGGCATGTAGGTGATGCAGTGGATAGAGTGCTGGACCTGGAGTTAGGACTATCTGAGTTTAAATCTGGCTTCAGACACTCAGTATACTCAACTGTAAAATGAGGATAATAATAGCCCCTATCTCACAGGATTCTTATGAGGATCAAATGAGATACTATTTTTAAAGCTCTTGACACAGTGACAGGCACATAGTAAGCACTCAATACATACTTCTTGTGTTCCTTTCCTTCCAACTATGAAGAGAACAGAGGCTAGGAAAAATTAGAGATCAACTGGAACATATAACACGAAAAGGGGAGTAGTTAGAGATAAGACTGAACAGGCAGGTTGGAAGCAGATTGTGGAAGACCTTAAATGTTAGGGTCTGGTCCTTAAACTTAATTGGGAAGACAATGGCAAGCCTTTGGCAGTTTGGTGTAATGGATAACATGCTGGATTTGGTGTCAGGAAGACCCAAGTTCAAATCCTGCCTCAGATGCTTACTAGACATATGGCCTTTGGCAAATCACTTAATATCTCTGAGCCTGATTTTTCTCATTTGTAAAATGAGAGATTTAGACTCAATCTCTTAGGTCTCTTGCAGTTTTAAATCTAAAATCTTCCATCTACTATTCTCCAAAAGAGTGAAATGATCTTGGCAGTGCATTCGGAAATTACTTAAAGACAGATAGAGAGGACGTAGGATGGAGACAGGAAGTTTTGGCCATGAATTTAGGGTGTTTATGTATGGTCTCCTGCATTAGAATTGGAGGTCCCTGAAAGTAGAGACTGAATATCCTTTTCACACTTGTATATAGTGAGTACTTAATAAATTCTTTTTTATTTTATTCACTCTTTCACAAACATTGGCCATATGTTCAGTGTCTTGAAACTCTCAATGAGTACCTAACCCATCAGTTCCTTCAGGAGGATAACTTAAGAGCTTCTATCCTTGTTACTCATCCTTTACTCCAGCAGCCAATGTACTGTGTAGAAAAGAGAATATAGTAAAGAAAAGAGCTTCAGTTATCTAAACATCTAAAACTGCTAAAAGCAGAGAAGGTAATCATTCCTTGGCTTACCTTAAAGATACTTTTATCCTTCATAACGTAGGGGAACCAACAAAAAAAGCTTCTATTTTGCATCTAATTCTCACTATTCATCCAGAGAGAAGTGACTCTCATTTTGGACTTTACTATAGAGAAGGAGAGGAAAGCTAGGCATAATCTGATGTTCACCTTGGGTATTTTTTTTTGGGAAAGCAGATTTCAAAATATTTAGCAAAAGGATAGATAGGATCCCGTGGCCTGAAATTCTACAGTCAGTCCAAACAGGATAGTGAACTATATTCTAAAGGTACAGAGAAAAACAATTCTAAAGAGGAAACAAAAGAGGAGTTGTCTTAAGAGACCATGTATAAATAAGAATTTCACCAACTAACTTAGATTTTTAAAAGATATATCCATTAAGATGGAAGCAAGGACAGGTAATGTTGGATGAATACTAAGATGTCATCCTGAGTGGAGGCTGGGAGAAGAACAGTAAGAAATCAAGTCTCTTTCAATGTCTTGAATAATGGCTTAGATGAGATGCTTATCAGATTTGCAGATGATGCAGAGCTGAAAGAGACAACGTCCAAAGATATCAAATCCATACAGATCTTGACAGGCAAGAATGTTGCACTAAATTGGAAATTAAATTTAACAGGGATAAATATAGAGGGAGTCTTGCATGTACATTCAAAGTCAATTTCACATATACAAGATAAGGGAGGTATTGCTAGATAGCAATTCACCTAAAAAGGCAAATATTTCAGTGAACTGCATACTTTGTATGGGATAACAGTGGAATTTTGCAACTAAAACAAGCTAATGTGATTTTAAGCTATGTTAATAGCACTGTATTCTACCCTTATGAGACTACGTTTGGAGTATTTTGCTCATTTCTGAAAGCCACATTTTTGTAGGGATATTAGTAAGCCAGAGAATGTCCAGAAGAGGAATGTCTGGATGATGAAGAAATTCTAGGATCATGAATCTAGAGTTGGATTCAAAGTCCATTTAATTCAGCCTCCTCATTTTACAAATGAGGAAACTGAAGCACGGAGAGATTAAAATGATTTACCCACAGTCACACAGGTAGTATGCATAAGAACTGGGGTTTGAACCCATATTAAGTGCAGTTCTTTTTTTTAATGTGCCATTCTTGAACCTAAGGACCTTGAGATCATGCCATGTGAAGATTAGCATATGGAAAAGTTATCTTTTTTCCCTTTTCCCCTCTTGTGTATGTGTATATGCATTTATTTACTTTATATTTATGTTCACTTTCTATCTCCCTTTCTCCCCCCCATGTACATGTAGTTCTTATTATCTTTTGTTTTTACATTGCCTACATTTCCTCAAGTATGTTTCTCCCTCTATTTCACATAGCAAATAATATTTTTTAAGGAAAAAGAGAAAAAGCAATCAGCAAAACTGATCAATACATCAAAAATGTGAAAATATGTGTAATAGTATATACCATGGAACATTGTTGTGGTAATTGTGTATATGCTTTTCTTGGCTCTAGTAATTTCACTTTGTAGTCTGTTCCAGTCAAGTCTTCTCATGCTTATCTTTTTTATCTAGTTTTCATTTCGTATAGCGCAGTAATATTCTACCACATTTATGCTAGTTTGTTTAGCAGTTCTCTAATTGATGTGCATTTACTATGTTTGCAGTCATTTGGCACTACAAAAATTGTACTATAAATATTTTGGTATATGTAGGAAGACTTTCTTTATAACAGTGACCTCCTTGAAGTATATGTGTAGTAGTGGAACCTCTGGGTCAAAGAGTATGGAACATTTTAGTGACTCTATTTGCATAACTATAAATTCATTTCCAAAACGATTGTATGGATTCACAACTCTACCACCAGTACTTTAGTATGCCTATCTTCCTATATTTATTATTCTCATCTCTTGTCATCTTTGCCAATTTGCTGTGAGAGGAAACAGGGTTGTTTTGATTTGCATTTCTCTTATTATTAGTGATTTGGACCATTTTTTATGTGGTTATTAATATTTAGTAATTCTTTTGAGAAAGACTCAAATCTTTTAACCATCTATTTACCGGGGAATGACATTTGGTATATGCACATATTGACATATATATGTGTGTATATTATATATTATTATTATATTATTTATATATATAATCATATACTACACATATGTGCATGTGTATGTATATGTGTATGTATATTAGTACCTATGTATCTTAGATACTAAACTGTTACATGAGAAATTTGATACAAAGATTTCCTTTTCCTATTTGACCACTTTGCTTCTTAGAGGAATTAATTTTGTCTGTGCAGAAGCTTTTCAATTTCATGTAATCAAAATTATTTAAATGATGTTTTGTAATTACTTCCATTCATTATTTCATTAAGACTATCTCCTACTCATAGCTGTGCAAGTTATATGATCTACTTCTAATTTTTTATGCTATAATCTTTAATCCATTAAAGTTCATTATGAAATAATAAAGAAGTAATAGATAAAGAAAATAATAATGGAAGAAAGTGGCACCTAAACTGAGTCTTCAAAGAAGCTAGGGATATCAAGAGATGGAGGTAAAAAGGAAAGCTTCCTAGGCACAGGTGACCTATATTGTAAAATTATGGACTAGGAGATGAATTAGAGTGTACAAGAAACGGCTAGTAGGATGGACCATGGAGCTTATGAACAGGAATATAGTGTGGGAAAACATGAAATATTGGAAGCATAGCTTCTAGAGGATTTTATATTTTATAGTTTATATTGGAGATATTTTTAGGGAGCCATAGGAGTTTATTAACTGGTGGGGGGTGATTGGAGGAAAAATAAGAGGTGACGTGGTTAAACCTACACTTCAGGAAAGTCACTTTGGCAACTGTATTGGGGATTGGTTGGAAAGAGAGAGATTTGAGGCAAGGAGACCAATTAGAAGACTTTTGTGATTGTCCAGGGTATATAATTTCTCTATCCCCCCATTTTCTACAGCAAATAAATGTTTAGTCTTTTAACTTGGTAGCATATATGTGAATACAGATCTGCATATAAATTTCTGAGAGAAGTATTTTGGAAAGTAAACTTATGGGACCTTGATTAAAATAAACTACAAACCTTTACTTCATTATGCAAATAATATAATTATACAGATGTTAGATTACTTTAATAAGTCCCCAAATTAACACACCCCTTTTTCTTGTCCCATGAAAGGGTTACCTTAGAGTATAATCAGCTGCATTTTAAATATGAAATGAATCTAAGTGTATCAAAATCTGTTTGAGAGTGCTTAGTTTTAGAGTAAAATTTAAAAGTTCTGTCAAATGAGTGTTTCATTTTCTTTTTTTTCCCCATCTACAGGATTATAGTAACAGACACCATTAGACATTTGAAAGAGAAACTGAACTTAGAAAAAAAATGTTGGACACTATAGGTAAGACTGATTCTTTCTTGTTAACTTTTGCAAATGAAATTAGAAATAACAGCCTTTAAAATACTGACCCAAACAAGATTCTCTCTTTAGTAATATGCTTTATTCAATAAATGTGATTTTTTTCTTTACCTGAGTAATTTATTCTAAAACAATAATTAAAACTCTTAAAAACCTTAATTATTCTAGCAACAACAGATTTGGGTAAGTTCAGAATGGACCCAGTCTTAGGTTTGTTCTTTTTTTTTTAAAGTATAGGGCAATATTATTAAAAGGGTAACATTGAAGATGAAGACTCAAATCTTAATTTTGTTTTTTCCATGTCATATTGACCTGCCTTAGAATTCTCCACTCATATAAACTCTCTGGGGAATGGAAGAACAACAGAATTTGGATAACTTAAGCTAATATAGATAAAATTTAATGAAGATTGAATGCAACTTAAAATGGGTATTGAAAAGGTCCCTCTCAGCTTCAAATCTCAGTATCCTTTGAATTGATATTTTCAGTTTGAATTATTAAAATTATCTAGAGTCATATGATGTATGTCTATAGTATCCATAGCTCTATTTTTTTTAGCTTGAAAATATTGTTCTGTGATTAAATATCTCTTTGATAGAACTGGCATTCCCTAGTATATGTAGGAAGACTTTCTTTTTTACAGTGACCTCCTTGAAGTATATGTATGGTAGTGGAACCTCTGGGTCAAAGGGTATGGAACATTTTAGTGACTCTAATTGTATCACTACAAATTCATTTCCAAAATGATTGTATGGATTCACAACTCTACTACCAGTACTTTAGTATGCCTATCTTCCTATATTTATTATTCTCATCTCTTGTCATCTTTGCCAATTTGCTGTGAGAGGAAACAGGGTTGTTTTGATTTGCATTTCTCTTATTATTAGTGATTTGGACCATTTTTATGTGGCTATTAATATTTAGTAATTCTTTTGAGAACAACTCATATCCTTTGACCCTCTATCCCCTCCCTGTTATTATACATTTTTCATCATTAATGTTTATAATGCTTCTTTCCATTGTTTTTGGTAGAAAATTACTTGCTGCCTTACTTATGCAAAAACTTGGGCTGTTAGGACAATGAAAACCCATACAAAATGTTTTCCCTTAAAAGCAGCATGTTTTTGTTGTTGTTCAGTTATTTGGGACTCATTGTGGCCCCATGGACTATAGCATATCGGGCAGAGACCTTCTATCCTTCACTATCTCCTGAAGTCTGTCCAAACTCATCTTCATTGCTTCCATGACACTATCCATCCATCTCATCCTCTGCCATCCCCTTTTCCTTTTGCCTTCAGTCTTTCCCAACATCAGGGTCTTTTCCCATGAGTCCTGTCTTCTCATTATGTGGCCAAGGTATTTAAGCTTTACCTTCAGTATTTGACCTTCCAGTGGATAGTCTAAATTAATTTCTTTAAATATTAACTTATTTGATCGCTTTGCTGTCCAAGGGACTCTCAAAAGTCTTCTCCAGCACCATAACTCAAGTGTCGTTCTGCTGCTCTCAGCTTTCCTTATAGTCCAACTCTCATAATCATAGCTTTGATTATATGGACCTTTGTCAGCATGGTGATGTCTTTTCTTTTTAGTATGCTGTCCAGATTTGCCATAGCTTTCCTTCTAAGGAGCAAACATTTTTTAATTTCATGGCTGTAGTCACTGTTTGCAGTGATCTTTGAACACAAGAATATAAAATCTGACACTGTTTCCATTTCTTCTCCCTCTATTTGCCAGGAAGTGATGAGATCAGTTGCCAAGATTTTTGTTTGTTTGTTTGTTTCTTTAGTGGCAGACATAAGTCTCACTCCTTTCACTTCTTGAAGACTCTTGAAGCAGTTCAGAATAATCTCTTTGTTTCATATGGTTTGTCTTACCTATCATTTATAGGTAACTAGCTGAGGAGTCAGAGGACCTAGGTTCAGTCCCATCCCTAATACTACCTCTGTGACCTTGGGAGAGAGACTTATCCTATGTGAGCCCCAGTTTTCTTGTCTGTAAAATTGAGGAGATTGTACTATATATTTGAGCTCCATTCACGCTCTCTAGGTCTCCGATCCTTGTCATGAGAGAATAGAACCAATAGGTGCTTTGTAGATTAGCTCTGTTTTAGTGCTGATGACATGACCTACAGTATATTTTAATCCATTTAATAATGAGCTTCTCTTTTTTTCTTTTTATAGTCTAGAAATAAGAAAATGTCAGAGTAATAAAATTCACTCTGAGCAGATATTTGTGCGTGAAAGTAGAAATAGCTTGTATTTAAATTCACATACGCTCTAAGTAAAATCATTTTTTTCTTAATTTTAAAAGGAGAGAAAGGAAAATGGAATTAAATATTACATTGAGCAGGCTAAAGGTAGCCATGCTTTCAAACATCTTTTTAAAAATAAATTTTTATTGATGTAATTTGCTTTTATATTACTCAGATTTACTCTTGTATCCCTCTCTCCAGTCCTCTTTCTTTATTAAAAAAAAAAACTTAAAAAAAGAAAAGAAAAAAGAGGAAGAGGAAAAATCCAGCAAAACTGATTGACATCAAAGAAACTGATATTATATGCAATATTCCACACCTGTGGACCTCCTTCTTTCTCCATCCTATTCCTCCCACACCTCTCTTCAAAGGAGTGAGGTTCTACTTACTTAATTTTACATTAGTTTACTTAATTCCTTCCATGTTTCTCTGTATTCATCATGTTTGTCATTTATTACTGCCCAATAATAGTCTGTTACATTAGCATACCACAATTTATTTATTCCCCAGTTAATAGGCATCTACTTTATTTCCAGTTTTTTTCCTACCACAAAGTGTTCTGATTGATTTTATTTTATTTTATTTTACTTTATTTTTAGACAGTTGGGGTTAAGTGACTTGCCCAGGGTCACACAGCTAGTATTGGTCTGAGGCTGGATTTGAACTCAGGTCCTCCTGACTTCAGGGCCAGTGCTCTATCCATTGCACCACCTAGCTTCACCTGTTTTTTTTTTAAATTGTTTTATTCACAAAGTGTTCTGTGAAGCAATTTTTCATTTTCTTTTCTTTCTTTTCTTTTTTCTTCTCTTACCTTTTTTGTTTTTGCATTAGTCATGGCAGGCTTGAGTGGGTGTATTTTTTAGTAGCAAGTTAAACTTTTACAACTCTCCTATGAATTGTTTTGTGAGAGGCATCATGGTATGGTGGATTTGGAGTCAGACTGTGAGAGCTCTCCTTCCAGCTTTGTCATTAACAGTCCATGTGACTTTTGGCAAATCAATTAACTCTTCTGTACCTTAGTTTCCTCATCTGTGTAATGGAGGATACTTTTTTAAACCACTTCATAGAGTTGATGTAAGAATCAAATATAATATATGTGTAACAGTTTATAAAGGCCCTATGTAAATCTGAAGTGTCATTATTATTTTGGTGAGAATGGATAGTTTCATTGTTTCATTGGAAAAGATGGTTATCTTACTATCAGTCAGTCAACAAAATTTTCTTATGATTTGAATCCTTTTTTTTTTTAAACCTACTACTGACTACTAATATACTTTGTTGTAGACACTAGCCAGGCCCTACAAGCAGCGGAGCGATTGCAGGCTAAACTTCGGGAACGAGGTGATATAGTGAATGAGGACAAGTTGAGTCTCCTAAAGTCAGTCCTGCAGAGCCCTCTCTTCAGTCAGATTCTGAACCTTCAGATGTCAGTTCAGCAGCTGAAAGACCAGGTAGGTCATCACCCATCTTAGCAGGTATTCCAGAAATTGCTTGGCCACTATCCCTTTTATTTTTCTGAAAGGCTGATTCCTGTATGTGTTAATGAATAGTTAATTAAATCACTTAAGCCCAAAATGAGACATTCAGATTCACTGTGGCTTTTTTCTTCCCCTAGTTATTTTTTGCCATGGTTATTGCTGTATATTGTGGATGATATGACATTCTGTTGAAAGCTGTCTGGATGCCAAAGAATGAATTCCTACAGAAGAAGGGGATGATACAAATATGTTTAAGATAGAGAGCTGTATGTAGATGTGGTCTCCCTCACTATGGCTTATTGTTCATGTGATGTTGCTCATTCTCATCCAAATGCTTGATCCCCTTCCTTACACTATTTCTGATAAGCTTGGATTTGCATGTGTAATCATGTATGTGAGGAAAGGAAAGTACCTCTATTTTGACAGTACGAGGGATAATTACATTGTCATCAGTTGGTGGCGTTGCAAATTCTCACTTCTTAAAGCAGTGTAAGGAGCAATTGCTTCCCATGACAGCGTCAGATGGTGATAAACATTCGAACTTCCAAATGTAACACCGCATTCTATTTTTTTTATGTTAACAATTTTTATTCGGAATTTTTATAGAAAAGAAACTTTCAAGCATTTAAATTAGGATGGAATATATCACATTGACCATATGGAACCTGAGGGTGTGCATGCTCTGAACTCAAATAATTAAATTAGCCATATTTCAATTTCTCTTATTAATTTTCCCAGATATTTTGACCTATCCAGGTCATTATTTTGAATACAGGTTATCATTATTTTTTCCTATATAGGCTTTTAAGTCAATTTAATAATAATTATAATCAGTTTTGGTATTGTTACAGTGCTTTTTATGATAATGTTGAGAATTATTGAGAAACCTTAGTTTGCTACTTTAATGAGTGAGATGGCACACTCTTTAAAGACACAAAGTAGTTTGAAGATTCAGTGATTTAAGAAGGAGCAGTTTCAGTCAAATACTTTATGAAAGGTTCATGAGTTAAGTCTGATCAGAGATGAGAGGGGAAGTCCTAAGTAAGGCATGTAATCAGTCTGTGAATCTAGAAGTTAGGAGAAATTGACTGATTGAGGAAGGCTGGTAGAATAATTTCTTCTCAATAAATCTTGGATTTGTGAAAGACCCTTAATGTTATGGTATGCGTTTGTACCCTTGAAAAATAATTAAAGTGATTTTGTACAATATACAATGACTTGACAAACTTTATTAAATATCAAGGTCCAATATATAAATATCTTGCTTATGTTGAATTTTTATTTTTTTAGTTTTATTTCTTTTGTTAGATGACCATAAAATAATTGAGAAGAAATAATATATAAAAATGTTTTTAAATTTAATTAGAGAAAAATCCAAAATGGGGGGGAAAAGTACTAGTAAATATTACCAGTAAATAAAAGAGGCCTGGTCTTTGTCTTTTCTGAAGTTCTCTCATATTTTGTACCCCCATTACTCCTGAAATTCCTCCTTAGCACAGCACATAGTAGATGCTAAATAAATGCTTGCTGATTTGACTTAATTTTTAGCCAATTTAGTTTTGGAGGGGAGAATTCATTGAAAGGCAAAGATAGGAAGCCACTGGCTGATGTATTGTTTTGTTTTGTTTGTAAAACACACTATGGGTAGAATGGTTAAAAAAAATTACTCTAGAACATGGTTTCTTAGCCCAGGGTCCACCAATGATATCTCAGGGGGACTTTGATACTGAAATAAAATTACATCTTTATTTCAGTATGATTATTTTCTTTGTATTTTATTTTGGGCATTTGAAAACATTATTCTGAGAATGGGTCCATGGGCTTCACCAGAATTCTGAAAGGTTTGATTCCACAAAAAGGGTTAAAAACCTCTGCTCTAGACTCAAGCAGTAATTATTGGTCCTCTCCATTTCTGTAAGATTCAGCTATAACTTATCTGAAGATATCCCAGACACTATCTATATAGAATAGAGATAAATTGTGAAGGTACATTCTGTGAAAGTGTCTTAGGTATACTTTTGAAAGTAGTCTTATCCTCTTTCATGTAGACGGAGAAAAATTAACATCTATATTTCTTTTTTCTTTATATTTAACAAGTGTACCTTAAATACGTATCTGATGTATATAGCACTTACAGAGAGGTATAAAAGAAGCAGGGGAAAATTTCTCCTTTGCCTCTCTGAAAGGGTTTGCACTTTCAGTCATATTTTACCATAGTCATTGACTTCATCAATATCTAGAAACATTAAGTACTTCCTTAACTGACTCATTTGTGTCTTTCTTTTTATTTGTTCTAATTCATTTCTTTCTGAATATCCTGGGTCTCATTATGCTAGTATTTTTTTTTTCTTTGCCAAAGTTTACCAAAAAAAAAAATAGGGAAGGTCCTATTTTTTCCTACACCTCCTGTTTGTGGTTATTGTGGAAAAGACATTGGATTAAGGCCTCAGAGGATTTTGATCTATTCTCTGCTACTTATTTACCTCTCTGATTTTGGTCAAGTCACATCACCTCTTTGTAACACAGTTTCTTAAAAACAAACAAACAAAAAGATTAGGTAGGAAAAAGGAGCAGCTAGGTGGCTCAGTGGATAGAGCACTGGCCCTGGAGTCAGGAGGACCTGAGTTCAAATGTGGCCTCAGACCAGACACTGGACACTTACTGGCTGTGTGACCCTGGGCAAATCACTTAACCCAATTGTCTCACCAAAACAAAAAAAAAAAGATTAGGTAACAGTTTCTTTATTTGGAAAATGAAGAGTTGGATTAAATGATGTCTCAGGTATATTTTGACCCAAAATTTTATCCTCTTATGGTAATTTAGTAATCATATTAATAGCTAGCACTTATATTTTGCTTTAAGAGTTTACAGAGCACTTTAGGAATATCTCATTTTATCTTCACAATAACCCTGGGAAGTAGGTACTATAATCGTTCCCATTTTATAGTTGAGAAAACTGAAGCAGATAGTGGTTAAACGACTTGTCCAGAGCCACATAGCTAGAGTTTGAGGCCAGATTTGAACTAAGGTCTTCCTGATTCCAGATCCAGCATTCTATCTTGTGTCACCTAGCTGCTACCATTTAAAAAATGTATTTTATTAATATTAAAATCAGGAAGTTGTATACTAAGCTCTGACAGCAGTGATCAGGCATTTGTTATATCTTCGTTTACCACAACAGGTGAGTTTTTCTAGGCACAGTCTTTGTACAGTCCTTACAGCTAGAAACTTGAGCCCCTAGATCAGCCTTCTTTAGCATGCCTCTATGTCCCTGAGAAGAGAAGAAAGTGAATAATTTATAAGTCTGAGGTATATGGAACATATTGAGAAACTTGATCGCATTGTTTTGTCCATGACAGATGCGCACACGCCACATTGAATTAAGCCTGCTATTTTTTTTCTCAGATTCTTCTCATTACTTCTATTCAATAAGGTTCAATTTTCCCAATTTGCTACTTCAATACTAAGATTGCCCTTGGAAATCAAACTGTTTCCTTTGGCAAACTAAATACTTGACAGGTGTGTAAGGAAGAGGGCATAAAAGCCATGCCCTAAAGGGATGTGCTATTTAAATATTGTCAAAAATACTAACAGGTCGGGGGTATAATTGATGCCTCTGTTTAATTCTGCTGCTTGGTACATTGTTATAACTGCCAGCTAAAAGGACGTGCTGTTAAACCCAGATAATCTCTAACGGTCTCAATTCATTGCCCTATTGCACAATTCCCATTTAAGTGAAAAGGACTCTGACTGTGTGTCAATGATCTGTCAAATGCACATTTTCAAGCAGTAGACCTACTGTCACTGAATCATTATTATAGCTAATCACCCCAGGGCTTAGTGCTTATTCATGACCAAAATCCAGCTATTGTGGGGATGGGGGAGGGGGAGTAGGAATAAACACGTTTATGGTTTAATCATAGAAACTTGCCAGCCGTAAGGATGTTGTACTTTGGCTGTGCAGTCTGTGCAACTTCTCACACCCAATACAGGCAAAACTCAGTTTTCTCAGAAATTCATTGCCTTGTCATATGAAATGAACAAAGAATAATATATAATATATATGTATATGCATATATATTATACACACACATATATATTTGGCTTAAGTCCATAGGATAATAGATTTAGAGTTGGAGGAGACCTTTGAATTCATCCTTCAGATTATGGTTGAGGAAACAGGCCTGGGGACTTATAAAGTGAGGGGTGGTGTAAGACTCCAATAGTAAGTGGCAGAGATAGGATTTGAAGCCAAAAGACTTTAGATCCAGCATTCCCTCTTCTGTGCCATGTTGTCTCTTAAGTTGTTTGCAGCAAAACTATGATTTAGTTATAATAAGTATTTCTATGTTGAACCTTAAAAAGTTTCTAGAAGACTCTTGTCTATGTCTGTTCAGGTACAGAGGGTAGATGATACAATGATGAAGATAATTTGGGTCAAAAAACAGGATTACATGAATCACGTAAGTCTTATGTGCTGCTTACCTGGAATCATGGTCTGGATATCATTGAAATCCATTATTTTTTTGAGTTGCAACACCTCACTGTATGCTTGATTTTGTAAGGTATCTGTCCTGCCTCCCCACCCAACAGATTGTTGCATAACCCATTTATATGTATGCATAATATGTATGAAATAAGCTATGGTACATGGATGTACCACGGTATATGGATGGGAAAACTTATAGGAACTAACGTAGAGAGAAGTTAGCAGAACCAGTTAAACAACATATGCAATAACACAAATGAAAAGAATACTAAAACTGAATGTGTCCAGGAAATGTGCCCCTTTCCTTGTTGTAGAAGTAGAGGATTGTGGAGGTTGGATATTGCATGTATTGTCAGTTGCTGATGAGTTAGGGCCTTTGATCACCTAGTTTCTTTTTCCTTTTGGGTCTTTGTTACAAGGAAAGACTAAATGCTTGAGGCGGAGCCAAGATGGCAGAGTGAAAGCAGTGACTTGCTTGAGCTCT